CGTGGAGCCCACCCTGCCTGTCCCTACACACCAGCCACTAATTAGCCTACAACCAGGCATCATAACAGCTCAAAAGAGCAGTCCTCTAGGGAACTTCTTCCTGCCCCTCTAAAGAGGGCTGATCTAAAAACCAGTACTACACGTGGAGAAAGGGGAACCCTCTTACACTGTTGGTGGAAATGCAAGCTGGTACAGCCACTCTAGAAAATAGTATGGAGGGTCCTCAAAAAGTTAAAAATAGAGCTACCCTATGACCCAGCAATTGCACTACTGGGTATTTTCCCCAAAGATACAGATGTAGGGAAAAGAAGGGGCACATGCACCACAAGGTTCATAGCAGCAATGTCCACAATAGCCAAACTGTGGAAGGAGCCATGATGTCCTTCAACAGATGAATGAATAAAGGAGATGTGGTCCATATACACAATGGGATATTACTCAGCCATCAGAAAGGATGAACACCTACCATTTACATTGACATGGATGGAACTGGAGGGTATGTTCTCAGGGAAATAAAACACATGTAAAAATACTCATCAGCTTATATGGTTTCACTCATATAAGAAATAGTGCAGAGGATCATAGGGGAAGGGAGGGAGAACAGAATGGGAAGAAATCAGAGAGGGAGACAAACCATGAGAGACTCCTGACTCCAGGAAACAAACTGAGGGTTGTGGAAGGGGAGGTTGGTGGGGGGGTTGGGGTAACTGGGTGATGGGCATTAAGGAGGGCACGTGATGTGATGAGCACTGGGTATTAGATACAACTAATGAATCAATGAACACTACATCAAAAACTAATGATGTACTACATGTTGGCTAATTGCATTTAAATAAAAATAATACTAAAATAAATTAAACCAGCACTACATCTACTGACTTCTTATAGGGTTTCTTACTCTCAAGACCAGTCATTGTTGCAACCCAAACATCCCAGGAAAGGATTAAGAGTTTAAAGTCCCTGACACCTTAGGGTGTATTACTTTATCAGAACACACTCCTGCAGTGATGGCAAGAAATAGGAACAAAAAAGACCCCGACCTTTCAGGAGACAGAATAATGAAGGGGAAGTTAATAAGAAGAGATACTGGAGACATTCTTTCTCTCTTTCTCAAGGCTATACAAGCAAATTTCATCAGAGCAGAGGCACGTAGAGGCCAACCAAGTTATACCAGAAGAAGGCAACACCTAGGGAGGGTGAGAGGCCATAAAGGCAAAGCTGTGAGCCGCAAGTATTCACATTGGATGTGCAAAGAAAACAATTTTCCCACTGCAGAATGCGCCTGCCTCTTAAATATCTCCCACTGGAAGAGTGGAAATACTATTCATTTGCAGCTCAGTAGGATATTAAAAAACAAAAACAAAAACAAAACAAAAGAAAACACATACTTTTTCCCCATGATAGCTTTGCCCAAGCAGACAAGAAAGGGATTATGTTAAGACATACATTCCACTTTTGTGCTCCGCTTGAAAATTATAATTGCTAAAGCAGCTGGGGTGATAAATGGAAACATAAGACAGGCCTGGTAATCTGCCTGTTAACCAGGTATCAAATGAGTGAAAGGGTCACATATAAAGAAGGAGTTTTCAGGTCAGTCGGTACTATTCTTTGGGCATGCACTGGATAGCTGAATCACTCTATAATGTAAGATTCCTAGGTGACCTCTCTTGATGGGGTTAGAGCATCTGGAATTCACAAAGAAAATTTTACCTCCAGATGAAGCTTTTATAATTGCTGCTAATAAATATTATGTCCCATGCCCTGCCTAACTCAAAGGCACTGTGGGGCACTAAGGAGGAAATGGAAAATAAAGGCAGCCCCTGGCTATTCCCAATACACGTTCATGGCCATTACAGCAAATACGAGGCATGTGTGGTCGGTTCTTCCTCCTGCACCCTTGGCAAAGATGACTTCTGGATCACAGTGTTTTTCCCACAAATCCCCTCCAGGTGCTATTTTCCATCAACTGAAGGCAGAATGAAGAAGAAAATTTACATTCACGAAGGATCTATCCCTAGACAACTGCAAATCTCCAAATTATAGATAACAATATCTGGGCGATATTACTCGTGAACTGCACGTACACTCTCTGTCTACGTACAAGGTAAAAGTATTAACATCATCCTTCATCTCAATGTCTTGTTTTTAGCATGCCTACACTCCCTCCAGTGTGTCCCCACTGTCCCTAACACTCCACTGTACCATCTCTCCCAGAGAAGTAGTTTTAGGGCTTTCTGTTGTTGATTTGTTTTGGATGTACCACTGCACAAGAATTATGACTCAATAAAGAGGAGAGGGCAGTAGAGGTTAGGCTGAGAAGTGGATCTTCCCGAGTAAATCAGATCCAATCAATTGTTATAAGATGTCCACAGGTATACAAATCTCATCATGCATGGGATACAAATTTGTGTCCCAGAAAAATGATGAATCACTTAGGTGTCATGGTCTTTGGAAATGCTAAAAAGCATAATTCTTAATGACTTACAACATACAAATGATAAATCTGATATGAAATTGAAGAGATGAAAGTGACAAATGTCCAATGGATCATATCTGGTCCTTTATAGAACCTTATGAAATTGACAAGAAGAATCTTGTTCCCATTATACAGATGAGGGAACCACAGCTTGAAGAGTCCTTGTGTCAGCCAGAGCAGGGCTCTACACCAGACAGAGGCACAATTTGTCTTTTCTCAAGGAGGTTCCGAGTGAATGTTTCTACTCCCAACCCATACAGGTCATGTCTCTTCAACACAAATGGTTTAGAGCTTTAGACAGACATGGATTTTGTCACTGGGGGAAGAAAATGTCTGTATAAAGTGAGCTCTTCCACTGCAACTCCTATGACACCTAGAAGAATAATCATGGCAATTATACATCAGAAACGAAGAAGTGATAATTACGAAGATGGGATTGCCAGCTACCACTTGGCTAGCCAGCATGGACACTAACTTTTATATTTCCCCATGGGGGCGTATATGAAAGAATCACAGAGTGCAGGAGAGATGAAACACAATTATCAGGACCTGGGGATTTATTTTTTCCACTACACAAAGGAAGAGGGAGGGCAGACTGCAGCTGGAACCTTCTCTTCTTGCTCTTTGCCAAACATAGGAAAATGCTGCCCCTCGTCCACTTACTTTAATTTCCCTCATAAACGATGACAAGGCTTATCCAGTCTATTGCACTTTCCTTTTCCATCAACTTGACTTCCTAGTCAGCCAACAGCCTCACCATCTCAAGAGTTTGTTCCAGAAATAGCAGAGGGCTTTTTTTTTTTCTTTTTGAAGGACCTGTGAGTGATGGCACACCAAGAAACTGGTCCCTCTTGGCTGAGCAAAAGGCTCTAGTCACATAGCTAGTATATCAGAGAAAGAAACACTTCCTTTTTCTGCCTTAGTCTATTAAAAAATCTTAATAGTTTTAAATACAGACCCAATAATAAGTGTAATAACAGTACAGACCCAATAACAGTTGCTCTGAAAAGGGCAAAATAAGTGGGGATAGTCCAGGTGTTGAGTCAAGAGCACTACCCCCCACTCACTGTGTGCAGTCAGTAGGTTGGTACACACTGGGTACTCACGGAATGCTTCTGCAGTTACCTTTCTGAATTTTGGTCACAGTTTTGTGCATACACAGGGGACTGGGTGGAGCCATTGCTTCCAAAGATGTTGGTGTGACTATATATATATGTATGTACAAAGTACTCATCACCATCCACACTACACACACACACACACACACACATCACCTCCACCTTATATAAGACAAAAATGGCCATCTTGTGACTTTTTAAGGGCATTGAACTAAGGTGCTTAAAAAGAGATAGAAAGGGCACCTGGGTAGCTCAGTTGGTTAAGCCACTGCCTTCGGCTCAGGTCATGATCCTGGAGTCCCGGGATCGAGTCCTGCATCGGGCTCCCTGCTCGGCAGGGAGTCTGCTTCTCCCTCTGACCCTCCCCCTTCTCATGCTCTCTCTCTCATTCTCTCTCTCAAATAAATAAATAAAATCTTTAAAAAAAAAAAAAGAGATAGAAAATAGGGACTACTTTCAAAGATTAATTTTGGTTTTGTTTTAATTAAGCATATAATTAAGCATATTAAACACTTGGGTGCATGCTTCTTAATCTCTATTCCTTTGGCTATACCTCTGCTGAAATGAAAGCAAGATACAAGTAAGAAGCCTTTTCACATTGCAGCAGGGAAGAATAAAATATAAAATTATACCAAACCACGTTTAGCTTGCTACAACCAAGGTAAAAATAGCACACACGTATAAAGGAACACCAATTAATAAAAACACTTTCTGATAGGGGGAGGGCTAATTTTCCACTTGGAACATATACTCACTCTTAAAAAAGGCTTTTCAGAATGTGCTCCACAGAAGCTGTTCTGAAGGATTTATCATGTGTGACATAGGAAAAGGATTCTTTAGCGAAATAAGTTTAGGAGGCCTCTTCAGTCTCTGGGTTTCTCCAGAGTCTTAATTATCCTAACATGAACCCTGCATCTTCAGTAAGGCAGAGTTAAATAATCATTACTTAAAATTGCTTAACCATAGAAACACTTAAGAAAGGAGAAGCATTTTGTGGAACTAGTTTTCTTCAGAGTACACTTCAGCAAATACTGCTTTTAGTAATAGGTACACAAAATATATACTTTTCCCAAACAAAGGGAGATTAGCACCCAGCTAAGAGCACCTGGTCATGACCTTCTCATGGAGCACCCTAGCCCAGTGCTTCTCAAACTTTAACGTACACCTGAATCACTAGGAACTGTGTTACGTGCAGACTCCTACTCAGAAGTCTTGCCTGAGACTCTGTATTTCTAACAAGTTCCCAGGTGATGCTGATGCTGCCAGTCTGTGAACCACACCGAGTAGCAAAGGGCTAGAACACATGTGTCTTCAAGTGCTGAAGGTGTCTCCAGTATTATCCTGAGTGCTATGCTCTCTGATAATTCTGTATCCAAGAGGGTAATGGGTCTGCGGCTGGGGCTTACCAGTAAAACCTGTTGGGTGTGATGCGTTCATGCATGAGTTGCCACCGTCTTCCAAAGTCCATGGAGCTATAGAGCTGCAAAACAATGAAGTGAGAAAAGCATAAGCATCAAGGACACTCACTGGTCAACAGAAATACACGTGGCATCCCCCTGGATAAGGACATTCTAGTGTACCAGAGTGCCGACCTGAGTTGGCATCCATTTTATCTAGATAAAAGCTATGAATATGACCATGTCATGCTTATCATGGTGACTTCTGCATCAAGTAGGTGCTCAACATATATCCAATTGACCGATGATTTTGAGCTGAGTGTAAATCCTTTCTGATGCCAACCATCATTCTCTCCTTCAGGGGTAAAGCCTTTCATAAAATTCTCATTTTTCTTCAAATTCCTTGATATCTTTAGCTCCATTCAAAACAATTCAGCAAAATTTATTTAAAATTTATTTACTGAATAGCTCCTACATGTAAGGCACTCTGGTGGACATGAAGATAAAGAAGAGGTAGATTCTGTGTTCTCAGGGAAATAAAACACATGTAAAAATACTCATCAGCTGGCATCTGAGCCAATATTACGTATAAAATATTGCGCTGTTCAAGTTTTATCACTCACTGCTCCTATATATAATCTAAATGAAATGGACTCTTCACTGCCAATAAGGATACCATGCTTGTTTATAGTCCTAGGTCTTCACAGAGATAAGGCCATGCTTACTCCTAAGTAAGCATTACACAAGCGTGGGTGGCTCCCCCCACGCAACCTTTTCCAACCACTTCAAGCCACTCATCTTTCTCCCTTCTCAATTCACTGCACTCATCTTTGGTTTCCACTGAGCACTTATCATGAGGTAATACGTGGTTATGTCTTTCAGATTCATCTGTATTATTTAGTTGTATTTATATTCCCTCAATATATATAAAGAGTTCAACAAATATCTGTTGAATAAATCAATAATTAAAATAGGCACGTAAGAATGGATAGTAACTCATGGAATGAGAAAAAAATTCTAGAAGAGCCTCAAGACTTTGGAAAAATAAAGAAGAACCCCCAGCATGGCTAATAAAGTCAGATTCCACATTCACTTACTTTATGGATGTAGAATCTGACCCCTTTGTAACACATAAGAGAAAGGCCAACATTCCTATCACAGACTAGCCAAAAGTATGGAGTTTATTTTTAATTGTATGCCTGGAAGTATAATAGCTCTGACTGATAATGGAAATAATAATAATAATAGGTGGACTACAGTGCTCTTTCACATATATTTGAGCCTTACAAGGACACTGAAAGGCAAGGCAGTTATGACTACTTGAATCCTTGCTCTCAAGCATTTTCTGATCTGCCAGGGAGAGTCAACCACTCCCTTCAGGTACCATCACCATTTTTACTGTCTGCCTCTAAGAAGCTGTTCACACCAAGGCAATACTGGTTGGCATGTCCCTCCTGCCATTAGGCTATGAGTCATAAGAGAGGCAGGAATCATGCCCAATTCACCTCTGTGTATCAGTGGTTACAGAATACATATACAGGTGAGCACACAAACCTCCTGTTTCATAGTTAATGAACTCAGTCTTGGGGAAGTTAAGTTTTGGTCAAAAGAACTAGGATTTAAGTTTTCTGATGCCTGGCTCCCGTCTTCTTCCATGGAATCATGGTGCCTAGTTTATAATGAAAATTCTATTATTTATGTTCTTCACACTTTCACAGGTGGGGAAATTGGGAAAGGCAAAAGTAGATGGGCCTTAAGTTTATAGAAATGGGGTCAGATGAAGTATCTTCCCATTATCACATCCCCAGTACTGTTCCCCTAGGGAGTGCTGTCTGGCATACCACACCCAGGTAACGCTGCCACCTGTAACGTTCTGAGTCCATAATCTTGCAACTCATACAGAAATAATTTTTGAATGAACTCCTGGTAATCTCAAGTAAGCCTTGGGGGGCTTAAAGAAGTTTTAGCCCATTTAGCCCATATTGCCCATCTCTCAACTTATAAACAGATGACTCTCCTAATATACATACACCACACCAAAGGGGAAAATGGGCCAGAGGTTAGAGCTCTAGAAGTTGAGAAATGGGCAAGATTAACAGGAATGGAAACGGAACAATGAGCCTTCCTAGAGTAACATAACTTGAGCTAGGCCTTTGGAGATAGGTGGTATAGACAGGAGAGAAGGTGGGTAGAGATTTTATAGGGTGAAGAAAACAATAAGAACAAAGGTGTCAATACGGTTAAGATCTTGAACTTGGCTTATGGGGAAGCTTTTAAGAGGAAGCAGAGATGTGATGACTGTCACTGGCTAAAAGGAGGTAGAGGTTGTCTGTCTGCCCATTTTCCTGTCTGTCTCTCTTTCTATATACCCAACTATTTGTGGCTGATCCTATATTTATCTGTATGTATATTTATATTGGGGAGGGTGTTGGGAGGAAGGAGAGAGTTGGTAAGGACCAGACCATTGCATTGGAAAGAATATACCCTTATATTTTTTTTGCAAGGACTGAGATTTCCATGCAGAGTTTTAAGAAATGGGTCACTCTCCTTCCCATGGCAGGTGTCTGAGAGACAGATGCTCAGACTTAAGACACATTTCCCAATTAAACACAGAAGAGACTTCAGTTGGAACCTTCTATAACCCAAAGATACCAGACTCTCTGTCAGCCCAGATTCCAATCATAGAAGCAGAGCTCCAAATCCCTTCAAATAAAACCCAGCATGATTATGTCTTTCTCTGGTGCAAACTCTAGAGACAAGCCAGGAAGAACCATGAGGGTCACACTGACACAGCTGGAGTCTCAATCCTCCAGAGAAATTATCAGTCCTTCCATCATGGAGGATCCGGTAGCAGCAGAATGCCTCCACCACAGCTCCTGCTAGGACTCACCCTTGGGAGAAGCATGACTCCTCTCATCTCATGCTCTTCCTAACAGAGAAAGAACAAGAGATCAGCTGCTGATCTCCTCATCCAAGCCTGTTCCACCTCCTGCCTCCCTTGTCTCTGGTTTTGCTTTTTCAGCTCTTCTGCTTGACTGATGGGAGAAAAATTAAATTGAATTCTCTGCCTAGAGGCTGATTCAGATGAACAGAAAGAGCAGGCTCCTATTCATTAAGAGCTTTTGGTTAGCTACCTTGTCTCTCCATCCACATAAGTTGCTGAGTCTGGAATGAATTTTATTCTACTGCAAGCTGGATCCTTGCAGCCTCTCCATTCACCTACTAAAAGTGTATCAAGAAACCACTATACTTTAAGCACTGAACTAAGGGCTGGAATTACAAAGGTTAAAAACGCCATGAACAGTGGAAGACAGAAATTCAGACAATTACACTGCCATGCAATATATGTCATAATATCATTACTAGTTATCTCCGCAAGGGTTAGACTGAAGGCCATCGGTAGTTTTTCTTTTGGTTATTTGGGTCTTTAAAATTATTAGGACCATGCATTACTTTAGTAATTAAAAAAGCTCTAATACTCAAAGAGAAATAAAGAAATTTAAGCAACCGTTCAATAGTAAGTGTTATAAGATCATTTAATGATATGAAAATGCTTATGATATATTATTTATTTTAAAATATATTGCAAAACATGCATACATTGACACTAATTTTATTTAAGTATTGCAAAAACTTGAAACACATCAGAAGGAGATAGGCCAAAATATTAGCAGTGGTTATTTCTGAATTGTGGGACTATGGGTAACACATATTTTTTAAAGCTTTCTATCATTTTCAGATTTCTTTACAATGGATAATATTTCAGTAGTAATATAAGCCACTGTTCTATTCTACTTTTTTATAATAATAATTTCTAATCATAATGTATACATTATATTTACCTTTAAAACTACCTTTTAAAAGGCCAAAAATTAAAATTCCAACATTTTCCATGAGGGACCTGGAATCAGACAAAGCAATGTGGGATTTTCCACAAAATGGTATTACACAGAGATCATCATGGATAGTGGTGAATCCTTCCTAGGACAAGTAACACATTAGCTCACGTGCTGTTTAAATAGCCCTGCATGGCTTCAACCCAACGTGCTGCATGCAACACTAAAATAGATTTTCTGAACAATAAACATCTTTAGGAACATTTCTTGTCTAGGGGTGCTTGGGTGGCTCAGTTGGTTTTAATCCTCTGACTCTTGATTTCGGCTTGGGTCATGATCTCAGGGATGTGGTATCAAGCCCTGTGTCAGGCTCTGTGCTCAGCACAAAGTCTGCTTGGCCCTCTCCCCTCGCTCTCTCACTCACTCTTGCTCAAATAAATAAAACCTTAAAAAAAAAATTCTTATTTATACAGAATTACATATATGAGACTGTTCTCCACATCCTGCCTCCTGATGCCCCCCGCTGCAAGGATGACATTCCTGAACCTTTAGCAGAGAACAGTCCAGATCCTCTCCCTTCCCTTCTTCCCTTATGTGTCATGGTCTCATATATCATAACAACCACATATTCAGTGGCAACACACACACACACACATACACACACACACAGAAAGCCCTAAATGAATCACTGGAACAGATGGAAAATATGAAAGAAAATGCTCTTTTCCTTATTGATCCAGTTATTAGTTCCCTAATTACATCAGCCTGCCAGGGAAAAGCATCTGATAGCCGAAGAACTAGAGGCAATTTAATCAATGTAATATTCCACAAGAGGAACAACAAGTTGTATCTGGAAAGCTTAAGTCCAAAGAATGATATAATTGCATTAGGAGGTTATTGCTTGAACTGTGTTCCCCCAAAAAGATATGTTGAAGTCCTAGCCTCTAGCATCTCAGAATGTGACCTTATTTGGAAATAAGGTCTTTGCAGATGTAACCACATTAAAATGGGGCCAGGGTGGGCCCTAACCCAATATGACTGATACCCTCATAAGGATAAATTTGGACACACAGACAGGAACAGAGGGAAGACAATATGAAGACACATAGAGAGAAGGCCATGTGAAGACAGAGGATTGAAGTGAGGTATCCACAAGCCAAGGGATGTCAAAGACTAATGACAAATCACCAGAAGCAAGGAAGATGCGAAGAAGGGCTCCCCTTTAAATTCTAAAGGGAATGTGGCCC